GACCCATTATCTTTAGGCCCATTGTCATTAATATGGACTTAAACTTTCATTAATATAAGGCTTACTATCTTGAGGCCCATTGTCATTAATATGGGCGCAAACTGTCATTAATTTTAGGCCCATTGTCATTAATATGGGCTCAAACTTTCATTTATATCAGGCCCACTATCTTTAGGCCCATTGTCATTAATATGGGCTTAAACTCTCATTAATATAAGGCTTACTATCTTTAGGCCCATTGTCATTAATATAAGGCCCAATATCTTTAGGCCGATTCATTAATATGGGCTTAAACTTTCATTAATATAAGGCTTACTATCTTTTCGCCCATTGTCATTAATATGGACGCAAACTTTCGTTAATATTAGGCCCACGATCTTTAGGCCCATTATCATTAATATGGGCGCAAACTTTCATTAATTGTAGGCCCATTATCATTAATATGGACTCAAACTTTCATTAATATAAGCCCACTATCTTTAGGCCCATTGTCATTAATATGAGCGCTAACTTTTCGTTAATTTTAGGCCTACTATCGTTAGGCCCATTGTTATTAATATGGTCTCAGACTTTCATTAATATATGGCCCACTATCTTTAGGCCCATTATCATTAATATGGGCTCAAACTTTCATTAATATGAGATCCACTATCTATAGGCCCATTAGTATTAATATGGGCTCAAACTTTCATTAATATAAGGCCCACTATCTCTAGGCCCATTATTATTAATATCGGCTCAAACTTTCATCAATATAAGGTTCACTATCTTTAGGCCCATTGTCATTAATATGGCCTAAACTTCCATTAATTTTAGGCCTACTTTCTTTAAAAATTGGTCCAACGATACTTCAAATTGAACAGAGATCACAAATGACACTAGTGATTAAATATTTACACAAAAATTCCTAATAATGTTTTTAATCGTTTAATACAAACATTATAAATTTTACAAGTTACTCAGTTGTGTTATATATAATAGATATAACTAAATAAATATCTATTATATATAACCATATCCATTGGATTATCCTTTGCGTATATTAAATAGATATAACTAAATAAATATGCGATGGATATATACAACGACGTTAGGCTTGATCGGTTGTATAATTTCTGAGCAGAGGAACTTTATCCGAAGGTGGCGAAACAATGTGGTCACTGGTCTTCTCCTCTTTGGCTTTCCCCCACATCACCATGTAGAACCCTGTCGATATCAATATTCCTCCGACCAAACTGTCACATTAACGACATTTATATCTGTAATCAGAAGCCACCCAAAATAAAAAATTTGAAACAACTTTAATTCGTTCAAGTATATATTGAGAGTATAACCTTCCGAGGTAGAGAGAGTCTCCGAGGAATACTGCAGTTGTTGCCACGGCGATTACGATGGACAGTGGCTTGAACAATGCCAAGTACAATGGCCCTTTGTGACTCACCGCCCATGAGTGAATTACGAAATACCATGTGTTTAAAATCCCCTAAAACGTTACAAAAACATAAAAATAAATAAAAATCCCGTATTTAGGAAATATATATGAGCTATACAAGTGTCGAGTCTCGAATAATTTGGCAAATGAACGTCTTTGTGATTTTTATTTAAATTTTTACGTTACCCCTGCAACGATGCTGACCAAAGTTATGTCGAATCGTAAGGTCCAAGCACTTGGATTGTTCTTTTCAGCAATGGCACCAACCATACCACACATAACCGAAATGCAAACATTGCGAGAGAACGTCACTATAACCGCAGATGGGTATCGATTCATTACATGTGCCTGCAATAATCGTATAACTATTAAAATATTAAAAATATAAATTTTTACCCATTTCATGAATATATATATGGATTTCATAAAGCCTACCTGAAGAATGTAAGCGACGGAAATGATGATGTACTCGAGAGCCAAAAGGCCTCCGCCGGTGGCCCACTCGGAGGGGGAGTGAAGAGGCCGACGCCGGAGGAGAGAATCCGACGCCGGAGACAGGGCGGAGAATACCGCCGGGCCGTGGTAGAGAGTGGCGACAAATGCGCCTCCTATTGACAATGCGGTCCCCGTCACTTTGGCTATACTCGTCTTTTTCTTGATGGAGACCTTCTCCATTCTTTCATTCAAATAGGGTTATGAAGTGTTAATGTAAATCAAACGGTAAAAAAAAGGGGTAGAATCGAAGGGTAAAAAGTTTAAAGAAGAAAAATAGTTACCGGAAAATGACGGCGAGGATAAAGGTAAAAGCAGGGGTGAGATTGGCCATTGCTGAGGATAGGGTTGGGGAACTGTACTTGATGCCATTGAAGCCTAACATCAGAAATACGCTTCTGCTCGTATTCCATCAAAAAACGATGAGTAAACAAACCCATCACCAATTATTTTAACTAGAATTTCAAATTTCAAGATCAAGAAAGTAAAACTGCAAAAATAAAGAAAAACAGTCTGTAAAAGTCAAACCGTGGTAAAAAAAAACTTACCCTAGTAGCCCAAGAAGACCGATTTTACAAAGAATTGAGGAGCTCAATGGAGGAAGCGAACTTGATCTGTAAATTAAACTGAAATCTCAGATACCGACATACACGTATTCTTAAAAAAAAAGACATCAACTAAGAGAGAGATTGCAGAGAGAGAGAGAGAGATGACCTGAGGGAGAGGGAGAGGGAGGCAAAAGGAAGAAGAAGAAGAAGAGCTCCAATGGCGTAATTATAAACGAGGAAGACAAAAGGGCTCATGCCCTTCGAAGTAGCCGCCTTGAACAGAGTATTCACCACCACGTTCGTGAATTCCGTCCCCACCATCGCCGCGAAGATCGCTCCATCTCTGTCACATAACCTTCTCTCCATTCTCCCTCCCTCTCTCTCTCTCCCCTATGGATCAAAACGTAAGAGACAGAACCAGGGGGGAGATGGATCGACCTTTAGATCTGTTTCTCTGTAGTGGTTTTTTCTTTAAAAAAGAGAGATAATATTGTTATCATAATATATTCTACGTGCACCACGAGCTTCTTTTTTTCTTTTTACAAAAATAAATAAACAAAACTTATTCCACCTTGTAACACAAACTATGATCTGTTTAATTGTTTAATCGTAAAAAAGTTCCCCTAAATCTGGATTCTCGTATATAATCGTATAAAATCCGTTTACCAACCAAAAAAAAAAAAGATACTGTCGTTTGATCATAGCAGAGTCGTCATAAATACTTTTTGAACTCTGTACAAAATATAAAAGTTATTATAAAATATTATTTTAAACTATAAATTTATTTAGAAAAATTATTTCTTAAAGAACCTGCCGGCTCTGGATCATAGTAATACATAAACTGCTAAATAACACAGAAATTCCAAACAATATATACGGCATTACGGAGATGCGCAGATACGGAGTTACTTGTAAACACGTTCATAGCATACATCACATTTTTAAGGATACGTATTCGTACAGTTCTTGTCCAAGAATCTCACGTCAAGATCGACCGCTCATGAACATGTCGTGAAAAAACCTGACCGCGTTCTTGTTAACTCGCATGCTGTGTTCTTGATATCTCCGGTCTGATTGATGGTCGGTACTCAGACATGTTCATCGTCGCTCTTGCAACTTCGCAAGAGAGGGACCTTTTGTGAAGAATCTAAGCAGCCTTCGTTGTTGTTGCACCCTTCAGCCATCTCTGCCTCTTTGGCCTTCCCCCACATCACCGTGTAAAACCCCATCGTTATTATCGTTGCCCCGACCAAGCTGACCAGAAAAAAAAATAGTCAATTTGGACAATGTTTTTGGTCCGAAAACATAATGTTTGTGTGATCATTAGCTAATCTAGGGTTATATCATTATTTGTTTATTTGAAAGTTTGAGATTTCACCTGCCGAGATAGAGAGAATCGCTGAGGAAGATGACGCCCATTGCCACGGCTATGGCAATCGACAACGGCTTGAACATGGCAACGAATAACGGCCCTTTGATCCGCAACGCCCACGTGTGGATCGAATTATTTATGCATGATCCGAACAATCCCTAATCGTATATATGATCAATGTGATGCAACATTTTAGAACAGTTCACGACATTGTCTAGGAACACTATGAATAAAGTCCCTCACCGAGCAAATGATGGATGCCAACGCTATGTCGGGTTTTAACATCCACATGCTCCAGCTGTTGTTGTTCCCTTCGGTGAACAATGTGACAATCGCGGTAAAGAGGCTAACGCACGAGCTGTAGAGGCATACCACCGTTAACTCGGCCGGATACTCTCTCATGATTTGCGTCTACAAAATAATATCATAATCATCGTCAAGACAGATATATATATAAGCGTATCGTCGTAATATGTATTTACGAGTGTGTAGTGATTCGGCTAGAAAGAGAGCTTGCACCTGAACAATGTACCATAACGGGACCAAAAAGTATTCGACCGTGAGGAAAGCGGCCCCGAGCGTCCAGTTTGCGTTTGGCGATTGCAGCCGTGATAGACGAAGAGAAATGGAGGGCGGCGATAAAGCGATTACGACGGGACCCTTGTAGAGAGTCACCACAAACGCTCCCGTTATCGATACCGCGGTTCCCAACATCTTGGCCACACTGCTGCTTCTCTTGAAAGAGACTTCCTCCATCCTTCATTCCCCAAACAAACAACCAGACTCAAATACGCAGCAAGTGAAGGGGAGAGACCATATTTCAGACCCATTGGAAACGAATCTGTTAAATGGGCCGAGCCATACGGCCCATATATGGCCCATAACCTAACGCAATGATGGAACTTTTTGGGTGATGTGACAACACAAGCAAGGGAAAGACTGCTCGTATTCCATCAAAAAACGATGAGTAAACAAACCCATCACCAATTATTTTAACTAGAATTTCAAATTTCAAGATCAAGAAAGTAAAACTGCGGCATTTTGGGAAATTAAGATCAATCGTAATAAGACAAAAAGGAGGTCACCTGAAAAGGACGGCGAGCAAGAAGGTAAAGGCAGGGGTCAGGTTGCTGATGGCCGAAGCAAGCGTCGGAGAGCTATAATTGATCCCTGTGTACCCCATCATGTTTGAGCAACACCTGTTTCCACGCAGATGTAATTATAACCATTCGGACAAATGGCAATTCCAGTAATTTGTTCGATGAAAACAACGACAGCAGAGAGAGATTAGAAAGAAAAAGCATCTTTCTTGAATCAGATTTAGATCAAGTTGTTGCGTGTGGAGCCAAGTGTCACTGTTTCTCTTTCCTTTTTCCCTCTATGATGCTTCAGGGAATCTGAAAATTTTCAGAGTTCTACAGCGAAAGATCTCATCTTTTGATCTTCTCAGACAGAATCAAGCAGTTTCTGGGGTCGTTTGTGATGAAACAGAACACGGGTTGGCGTTAAGAACAAAGAGAAAGCACCTTACCCAATTAACCCTAGAAGTAAAATCTTGCGGAGAATTGAGAATCTGAGTGGAGGAAGCGCCCTTGATCTGCAGATAAACATAAAAGTAAAACCCCCCTTTTTTTCCTTCTGATTCAAAACAAAAATCAAAGATTTCATCAAGAGCCGAAACAAGAATTGAATTACCTGGAGGAGAAGAAAATAGAGGGAAGGAGAAGAAGAGCGGCCAAAGCGTAAGAGTAAACGATGAAGACATGGAAATCCATGCCCTGCAATGTCGCTGCCTTGAACAGAGTGTTTAATCCCACATTCGCGCATTCCATTATTACCAGCGCCGTGATCGGTAACACCTCTCTCTTCAAGTATTTTCTCTCCATCCTCTCTCTCTCTCTCTCTCTCTCTCTCTCTCTCTCTCTCGATGAAGATCCACAGAAGTGATTTCTTACAGGAAGATGATGAAACAGAGTGTGCTCTGTTTCTTCTGGGAGAAAAGAAGAAAGGGGAAAGTGTGTTGGAAGCGGTGAAATTGAAGACTCAAGGAATTGTATTTTAATAAGTGACGCATATAAACTCGTGGACGATCATCATACTCCATTATATGTATGTATGTATGTATGTATGTATGTATGTATGTATGTATGTATGTATGTATGTTGCCAAAAAGAAATATTTCGTACAGGTCATAAAATATGTTAGATACTTTTTTTTTATGACAAAAAAGTATTTGTAATAGTCGTTGATTATCATATGGAATGTCATCTTCCAAGATTGGACCGAGTTCAAAATAATTGGTCCGTTGTATCATATTTGTGAAATTTATTTCCCAAAAATTAATAAAATATATATATAATGGAGGTTGAAAATTTCATGATATAGAATCGGGATTTCTTTAGATTACTAAATAGATTACGAGATGTAATGAACTAAGAAATAAATAAGAAAGAATAGATTTGGAGTAACTTTTTGCTTTCTTTATCCAAAATGAAGATATTGTATTTTTAAAATACAATAACAACATATTTAATCGAACGAACACTATATTCAACAGGAAGAATATATCAAATATTCCCCAGTGAGATGTATACAAATATCGTTCAAGATCTACTTGAATTATTTTCATCCAGGTCGAATCTTTTTTATATTTAAATAAATAAATTGGTGATATAATTAATAACTAGGATGCACAAGGATTATAAAATTTCTGTAGTTTAGTAAATAATCATATAATACAATCACAAAAATAGGACCATTATATCGAATAAAATATTATAAGATACCAAAACAAATGGGTGAAGCCGTTGGTGCATAATGGATGTACCATTTTGTCGTAATCTTAACATGTCGCATTCACGACCAAAGCACACGCCACATATAACTTATTATACATATATAAATGGAATTCTTAATTTTGGGGATTAATCTCTATTTGTGACTAAATAAACCATTGCTATCAATTTCTAGGCTTTTTAAAATAATTCATGATTTGTCAAATTGATGCTTCATAATTAATAATTACCATAAATATATATGAAGACAAGAAATTTGTGGTATGACTTTTCAATAAAATCATATTGGAAATTACGAAAAAACCATCCAAAATATAATGCGGCGTGTTATCAAGTTGGCTGCATACTACGGCGCCAATTATGCCAAAAGAAAATTTGGCCGAGAAGTTATTAAATAATAATAAGATATTATTTTTTATATAAAGAAAACGACATTTTATGACAAAAAATAAAATTTCTTCTTTATTGCTTTTGCATACTGATTATGGGATTGAATAATCACTATTATTAGGAAGAAAATATAGAATAATATAATTTCTTCCTACTAATGGGAAGAAAATATAGAATAGTAAAACTAAAGAAGAAATTAATAGGAAGAAAATATAGAAAAATAAAAGTAAAGAAGAAATTAATAGGAAGAAAATATAGAATAATAAATACAAAAGAATAAATTTTATTATTCTATATTTTCTTCCTATTAATTTCTTCATTAATTTTATTATTCTATATTTTTTCCATTAATATCATCAAAGCCGATTTTTTTTTTCAAAATACAATCTACTGCTCCTTACCCAAAAAAAAAATCCTCTACGTTTCCTACAAATTTCGAAGATAAACCAAAATTTTATTTGGCCGTAAAAAAACTAGAAATTATATATATATACTTCCCATGGTCGGATCTATCATCTATGTGTCAAATGTCAATGAGTGAGGTCCCGACCCTCCCGTGCCCTCCACTCTATTACTTATTTTTTTTGTTAATTTCTTCATAGAATTATAAAACAATTAAATAATATTTATAAATACTCCCATTCAAAAAATTTGTTTGCTCCCACCACTTTTTTTTTCTTTATTTATCTCAATTTCTTTGTAGTTTTATACCAAAAAAAAATCCTTTGTAGTTCCATTTTATTTTAATTTAGTCTTTCTTTCCTAAAATCTGGGGTTAGATTTAGTATATATTTTCTTTATATTTTTTTAATATTTTTCATATATATATATATATATATATATATATATTTCTTTAAAAATCAAAAAATACAAAAAACTACAATTAATAGAATTAAAATTATATAAATATTGTGATTTTAATTTTACAAAATTATTATTTTTATTCTTTTTTTCTATATTTTTATCATATTCATTAATTTATTATTCTATATATTTATTTAATTTTGTATTTGACTAGATAAAAATAACTAATGGATAATTTTTTTTTTAAAAAAAAAATTTGTATCGACATTTTAATATAGCGGTAAAATTCAATGAGTAATGTATCAAAATTATTATGTATAGATTTCAAAACAATAAAATAAAAAAAACTGTAGTATTAGTTGTAAAATGTAAATATTTTTTAGATGATATATATTTATTAATTTTTTTATTTTATATATATTTTTATTGTGCGGATCCGCCACTTATACTTCCTTTGGCATTTGTGATTTGATACATTACATTTCTTTTATTCTTTATATTATACGATATAGTAAGTTTCTGTATTACGCGGATTCTAAAAATTCACTTATTGTTATATATATATATATATATATGGGTGTTATTATATAATTACTGATGAAAAGCAATGAATCATGCCCACAATTTTAACTTGCCCTAGATGGGTGTGACTAATACAAATCCCACTAACACGGATAATATATTCAAGTTAAAATATTTGGAATGAGATAGCGTGTGATGTGTAGTTGTGATTTGGTTGGTCCATTATATTTAATAGACGGAATTGGTCAAGGATAATCACTCCCCATGAGAAAAAGATAAAGTTAAAAAAAAATTTACAAATTTGAAATTGAGCATTTGAAAAGATGGCATAAGCAAGCATTGTGGTGAAGAGCCAAACCGATCTCTAAAAAAAAACGGAAGTTGCAATGGGAAAATACAGAGCTAGAAAGTCTCCAACCTCTGCGGAACAGGTGTCTTGATGACCTGCAAGATCTGAACAATCTCCGCCATTGTTGGGCGATTCGAAGGTATCTGAGATGTACAGACAAGTGCCAGTTTCAGAACTGGCAACACTTCATCTTCTGAATACTCATCCATTGTCGGATCGACGCATTCCAACACGTTCCCCTGTTCTAACAGAACTCGAACATGGTCGCTCAATATCACGAAGCTGTCTTCTCCGTACTCCACTGGTCTCCGACCAGTAACAAGCTCAAGAATCAGAACCCCAAATCCATAAACGTCGCATTTCTCGTTGACCCTTAAGCTCTGACACTCCAGTTCAGGCGCTATATACCCTAACGCGTTCTGGAATCTGCTGTTCATCATGTTCCTGTCATGTTTTGTCAGAAGCCTTGTCAGCCCGAAATCCGAGATCTTCGGATTGTTGTTCTCGTCAAACAAGATGTTGGTCGGTTTGAGGTTGAAGTGGACGATCGGTGGACGGCACGAGTGATGAAGATAGGCCAGACCCTTAGCCGTCCCGAGGATGATTCTGAATCTTGCGGACCAAGAAAGGGGCGGTGTGGTAGGGTTTCGTTCGTGTAGCTTGGACTGCAAGTTACCGTTCGGGACGTAATCTGACACCAAAAGCTGCAAATCTGGCGTCCAGAAGTAACCTTTGATCAGCACGAGGTTCTCGTCCTTAACTTTCGACAGGATTCGAACTTCTCGATCGAAATCTTCCGGGTTTTGAAGAGTGGTTGAAGGTACGAGTTTCTTGACGGCTAAGAAACTTCCTCGTTCTCCCAATGGAGCCTTGTAGACAGTTCCAAACACGCCTTCGCCGATTTCAGTTGCTTTGTTGAGAAAAAACTCTGGATTTCTCGAAAACTCCGTGGAAGATAAGGAAGAAGACGATGATCTTGAGTTGAACAGAACCAGTTTACCTGCAGCAACGCTTCCTGATCTTGAAGAACCAGAGAAAATACTCTCCAGAGCATTATCAACAAAGGCAAGACGCCTTCTCACCGATGCGTTAAGCAATGTTATGATTATAACTCCAGATGTAATGAGTATAGCAGCTGAGATTGCGACAATAACCGAAACACTGAGGAACATCCCGTGATGGGATCTTCCAGAACCACTTATTGTTCTGTCTCTTTGTGTATGATTCTTGTTGTTTCCGTAAGCATTTGGATCAATGACCAATGGCTTTGGCACGTTCAAGGTGCAAGGTCCCTTCAACAATGGCGAACAAATGCCCAAGTTTCCCTGAAGAGCACTTTGATCCAAGCTCTCGAACACATTTCCCACCGGTAACCTTCCGACAAGATGGTTAAACGAGAAATTCACTGCGAGTAGATTCTGCAACTTTCCGAGCTCCGGAGGTATTTCTCCTCTCAGATCGTTGACCTCTAGCTTAAGAATCTTGAGCTTACGCAAGTTTGAAAGGGACTTTGGAATCTGACCGATCAGATTGTTATGGGACAAGCTCCTGCACAAGAAGCAACAAAGAAATACATGATATATACGCATACGATATGTTCATGAATTGCAGAAAATGAAACGTTTCTTGATGTTACAGGCTTACAGGAGGTTAAGAGAAGAACAATTTCCGATTCCTTCTGGTATTGGGCCGATTAGCGAGTTGCCATCCAATTGAAGGATTTGCAGACTCTGAGACTCGCATATATCGGCAGGAACAGAACCGGTCAAGGCGCTGTTTCGGAGATCCAAGACTGTTAGATTCTGCAGAAACCCAAGTTCAGGAGGAATCCTTGTCTGAAGATCATTCCAAGACAAGTTCAGGTATCTCAACTGGATGAAAAGCCCAACTTCTCCCGGAATGCTTCCCCCGAGGTTATTACGGGAGAGATCAAGAACACGGAGAGACTCAAAGATTCGACTCGAGCCTCGTGGGAGTGAACCCGTTAAGGCGTTATGAGAAAAGTCGATTTCCTCCAGACCAAGGTCGAAGAAGCCAGCAGGAACACTACCAGTGAAGCTATTTCCTTTGAGCTGAATCACCGATAACTCCGTGCAATATGCCAAAGAAGCCGGTATCTCGCCTTTGAGTTGATTTTTCGACAAGACAAGATGTTTCAGAGATCTGAGGTTACCCATTGAAGAAGGAAGCTCTCCGCTTAATGCGTTGTTGGACAAATCTAAGTGTTCTAAACTGCTCAAGCTAGTGATCCATTGCGGGAAATCACCAGAGAGTACGTTATTGGACAAACTGAAGAACATCAGAGAGTTTAGCCTCTGAAGAGGGCTTGGAACTTCTCCAGAGAACAGATTATAACTCAAATCCAATCTTTTCAGATGCGGACAGAATCCGATATCTGCAGGCAAGGGTCCCGAGAACTTGTTGCCCCGTAAATGCAACACTTTCAAGAGTTGGAGGGCAGGAATTCCTGACGGTATCAACCCCGAAAGAGAATTGTTCGAAAGATCCAATGTCCGAAGCCTCTGAAGTGTCCAAATGCCAGAAACAAAACTCGGGTTGCCCGAAAAACGGTTGCTTGAGAGATTCAGAGTGTTCAACAGAGAACATCTTGCAAGAGAACTAGGAATTGGCCCTTCAAGCATGTTCTTAGCCAGAGACAGATATCTAAGAGGCGAGTTGTTTCTGAAGAAATCATCAGGGATCGTCCCTGAGAGCGAGTTTTCTGATAGATCAAGAAACTTTAAGGAGCTAATGGATCCAAGAGAAGATGGGATGATACCCGAAAGACGGTTGTGACTGAGATTCAGCTTCTGGAGACCGGTGATGAGACCAATCTGAGGGATGATGTTACCAGTGAAGTTGTTGTCTGAGAGTGAGAGTACCTTCAGATGCTGCAACTTCTGAACTCCACGACCGATCTTTCCGGACAGACCTAAGCCATCGAGCGAGATTTCAGAGACACGACCAGTTGCAGGATTGCATTTGATGTACTTCCAAGAACACGGGGAATAATCGTCTTCGTTCCAAGATTCGAGATGTGAAGAAGGGTCGTTAATGTCTGCTTTGAACACGATCAGACCCAGAACGTCGTCGTTGAGCTGGAAAGAACCAGCATCGCCATTGACGAAAACAATGGATACTGCAAGAAACACCCAAGAGATTCCTATGCTATGATTGCCCATCATCTACAATCTCTCTCTCTCTCTCTCTCTCTGTGTCTTTGTGTGTGTGAGAGCTAAAGGGCTAAGGCTAGTTTGCTAGCGCGAGAGAGGGAGAGGCAAGGCAGTGTGATAGAATATATGAGTTTTGTAGCAATGAGAGGAAGTTTTGAGAGATTGTGAATGTTAGATGCTGAAAATAACTACATGACAACTACATAAAGTCACCAATGAATCAACCCAAGAGCGTAGTATCGGTTTTCTCGGTATCTTACCCTAACCGAAGTTGACCGGTTTTCAATTTTCAAAATATTCTAATTAACATCCATTCACTAAACGATTAACTATGCCCTTCGGTGTAGAAGAATAGTTTTCTGTATATATTTATCAATGTGTGTGTACAGTTTATACATACATACATACATATATATATATATATATATAAATACGTAAAGAATCTAGATATACATTACAATACTTAGCCTTATACTGTATTCAAGTCGCAATAGTTATTTGGAGTCTTATAAGTGGCTGATATCTGATTAGAGTGATTGGTAAAAGTAGGATACAAATCACAAGAAAACGAAGAGATGATTGTGAGGAGGCAAACGAGATAAAAATAGGGAGAGAGAGAGAGAGAGAGAATCCAAAAAACAAGAAAAGGGAAAAGAAAACAAAAGTGAAGTTTGGTCTCATGCAACAACAGAGACTCGTGACTGACATGTTGTTCTGTCCACTCCCGCCTCTCCTGTTAACTTTTCTGTCCTTTTGTACCCGTGAACTCTCTCTCTCTCTCTCTCTCTCTCTCTACTTCACATCTCCCATACATCTTTGCTTGTTGATTTGTTCCTATGCCCTAATCACGTTTAAATTTCAAAATACGTTATGAACATTATTTTAATCCCCTTTGTGTTTCATTGCTAGATACATATTTTGAATTCCCACGATTGAGATAAATAAAAATTATATTCACACTTACCGAAATCTGATAAGGAAAATCCAATCAAAACCGCTTGTGTCTGTCTGATCATGTAGTCAAGTAATTGAATTGAAAACTATTTCTGATGATTTATGTTTCAAGACCATACTATATATTTTATGTAGATTCCCCCAACAGTATCAGCTTTTTATAATCAAAGATGGGTACAGATGACAATCGATCACATGGAATATATATATCTATACACACACATAAAAGCAATGCTAATATATATATAGATAGATATAGATATGTTGATTGAAGTTGTTGTCTTGAGTTGGGACCGTGCATGTTCTAACATCTCTGTCATTCTGCCATAATAGTTTACATCATACAAGAGCCATTCTTTCGATCACAAAAAAATTGATAGGACACTGTTACTGTTACAATGAAATTGTAACCCTTTTTTTTTTTTGCCATCTTCGGAGATATGTTTATCCAATCAACGCGTTTGAATAAAAAAAGATTAGGTTTTTTATTATTCTTCCGCAACCCCAGAACGTGAAAATGAGGGAAACTGACAAATTTTACATCTCAAAACCCTAATTTTCGATGCGTGAATACGTAAGAGCACAAATGGGTGTGGGATTTTGAACGAGACCAAGTAAGAAAGCAAACGTATAGAAAAAGGGGAGTAGAAGGAGAACCGTTTCCCGATAAATACTTTACGGGAAAGTCAAATGGTAACAAGACGGAGAAAATGCATATTTTCTCGAGAAACAAACGGAAACCAAAGCGAGCGCGTGAACCCGTCGGACGGAATAATCCCCTATTCCCGTAAAATAGTCATCGCCATTTTAGTAGAATATAAATTATCAATAAATTATAATGATATTTAGTATAAGATTTTAAAGAATTAATAGAAATTTTGCGTTAATCTAAACTAGTATGTAGCCTGCAGGCACTTGCAAAATATCTATAAATCTTTCAAATTCTCATGTATGTAATAAATATTATATGGGCCGAGGCCCAATTCAAGACTGGGCTAGAAAAAACCGTAAAACTGAGTCCGCATTTTTAACGAATTTGAATGCAATAACATTTGAAAAGCAAACTGAACCGATCGTGAACATTGGGCTAACTATATGGGCCGAGACCCAATTCAAGCCTGGGCTAGAAATTGAATCTGAATACGGAATTTGAGATTGCACAACACTATCCCCAGATGTTCTTTGACCCAAAGCCGAAGGCAGAGGTGTGTGGAAACACAATCTGGTCTTTGGTTTAGAGAGGAGCAATTATGATCGGAGCCTTTATGACCAAGAATCCTAAATTATGGTTTTTGCCTCTTTGATTGGTTCTGTCATGAGATCATTACCTTAAGTTCTAAGAGGTCTTGGTTTATATTAGTGGCTTCACTGGGTCAAAGTGGGGGTCGATTCTGTTCTCTCTTTCCATGTGCCTCTGTTCAACACTTCACAAAATCTAAAATATTTTTGGGAGATTCTCTAATGGAACATCCATATTGTTCTAATTCACCGTTATTTTTTCCAATGGCTCGCACCCTGATTTTTTTTTTATCCTATGGTGTCGTCGCATTTATAGCATATATAGACAAAGTGATGGTTCACCTAAGTGTCTTTTATTTACCAGAGCGGCTGAGAAATGGACGACCAAACCCACCAGTTGAAGGGCTCTTCGTTGTCGGGTTGCTGTTCTGCCGCCATAAATACGTCTGAGAAGTTACCTTGGTCTTCCGCAGTTGGGCGTAGTGCTGCATGAGAGGTCCTGTTGTCGTCGTTCGGTTCTAGGTTGATTTCGTTAGTGAAACTTCTTGCGTTTTGATTCGTCGCCATTTCTGGATCGGTTCCATTGGATTGAAGCTTCTCTGTCAATGTTAGAACCTGAAGAAAAGATCCAAGACCCGTTAGAGATCTGATGATGTACATAGAGAACGGTAAAAGAGTTGTATGTTTGGAGATCTTGAAACGGGTCAAATTGCTTACCTTAGATTTAAGATTCTCGTTCTCCTCAAGAACCAACTCATGCTTTTCGCGGAGAGAATCATAGGAAGATTTGAGAAGTTCATACTCTTGTTCGATCTGCTTAACCTTGGAACGAGCTTTCCGATTCTGGAACCAGACAGCTACCTGACGAGGCGGCAAACCCAGCCTCTTAGCCAACTGAATCTTCCTCTGTGGCTCTAGTTTGTTCTCTTCCTGGAAACTCTCTTCCAGCAAATTCACCTATACGGAACTGTATCGAGTCAGAAGCATTGAACAAGGAAGATTATCATGTCGATTCGACGATTCATTTGACTTCGTATTGATACCTGTCCAGCTGTTAAACGATGCTTTCGCTCTTGGACCCGATGATGATAATATTCCTGGTTGAATAAATTCCCTGATATCATGGAGAAACGCCTCCTTGAAGATTCGTCTTTTTCCATGACCGAATTTGTTCCTGTTTCCCGAAACAGACAATCACATGATACCGATTTAATAACATCTACTCTCTGAATATCCTGTTGAAGTTGTTCATAATTTGTCATTACCAATACCAATATTCCAACGTTTTCGTTCAAATTAGTACGAGCCACACGGAAATTTCAAATTTCAAATTTCAAGTTTCAAACATAGTCATCACCTTGAAGAACCAGATCGAGATTCCCACGGGAAAGCCAGTTTACGCAAGAACCGGATTGCATCTCTCTGCTACAAATCATCACCGGAATCACGGCGACACGGCCGATTTTGCTTCTCGCAGTACGAAGAAACAGAAAAAAAAAAAGAAACAACTGAATTCGAATCACTTGACGCTGAAATTGATCGATCTGTTAGAAAATCGTGAGTTTGTGGCGGAAGAAGCTCGTCGTCCACAACAATCTCTCTGGAGTTATCGACGGAGATATGCGGAATCCCATCGCTGTAATATCAAAAACCACGAGCACACAACAACGAAAACGGAAAATACTGGCAATGTCGGATTGAAACCATTGAATCAAACGAGAGAATCTATTTGAATTTTGAATCTACTACGCAAAAACTCCATCCTAAACCCTTCAATCGAAATTTCTCTCAAAGTATTTTGCGATCTCTGTTTTTTCCTGTGTAGTGTGACAGTAAATCTTCGCAGGTAAAGTTGAATCGTCGGAGTTTCGGGGGAATTTATAGGTGCATTGATTTAACTATTCACGCTGGTTACGAAATGACAGATTTGCCCCTCACACGGTTTGTTCCCTTTTCCGACGCCATATTCACACGGCATTTTATTAGCCAGGGAAAGTTTTTTTTTTTGAATCAAAGAATAACAAAAAAAAAACTTCTCTAATAAGAGAAGAATATTTATGTTTTTTCAGCATATATACTTTCTTCTCTTATATCAAAATCAAATTTGTCAAGAAACTTGGTAGGACTCGATATTCCACGTGGAAGACGGATTCGCTGGATTTTGTTTTTTAAAAAAAATCTGAATTTTTTAATGAACAAAAAGGCCAGTTGATTAATGGGCCGGACTGAATCATATAGTGGGTCTACGGCCCAATCTAATAAACTGAGCTGGCCCAATAGGTAAACGGGTCGGGTTTTAATTCGGGTCCGGGACCTACTCCAGTAAATGGCCGACACAAAAGCAAATGGATAAACATACCCCAAAAAAAAAAAAAATTCTGTTATTTGAAGAATGCAAATCAAATGATACGACAGAAATTTTATATGTTGGGATTTCGATTTTCTAACTATAGAGGTTATTTTCTATTAAAGTCGAATAAATTGGTAACAAAATATTGAATATTTTTGCGATAAAATATAAAAGATTATTTATATATTGGGAAGTAAAACATATCACTTTAAAATTGGGTGCCAAACGTGATGAGATTGGATCCAAACAAGGAACGATTCAGAACCGTCCATGTTGTAGAACCAAAAGCATCATTTTGATGTGCCATCCATGAGCCGAAAGATATAAAGTTGCATCATATGATATTATTGAATCAAAGCAAACTCTCCCACAATGTAAAATAAAAATAAAAAAACAAAAGTAGTGTGGTGGTTAGTTAGTTTGTGTGTTCATGTATTCAAAATCTTGTTCTTATAATATTTTTATTTTAGACTATTGCAATCTATATGGAAATCGGAATTCTATACTTTATATTTTTATGAATTTCAATAATATGGTTATGGATCTTTCAAATTATTTAACTTATCTTCAAAAAAATATTGGAGATAAAATTTTAAAAACAAATCTAAAGATGTGATATACAAATACAAACGTGTCTTAAATACAATATTTGTAACAATGTCAAAATCTAGTGAGCCAAAATTAAACTTTATTAATCGTATCCGGAAAAGATAAAAACAATGCACGTTTGAGATAAGAAACATCTCATGCCCCACGTGACCACTAATTTATTTCTAGAAACGTATTGATAGAAGAAACGGTTGGATATAAATGACTATACAGTTTCTCTTAATTGTTATATTAATGCATTATTTTTTTGTTTAAATATATTAATGCATTATTATGATCATATCGTTTATATATCATCACACAAGACGGGATATATGGTTTAATGGGGTTTTTTTTTCTCCATTAATGGATCGTTTCTCCGAACGTATGGTGCTTATATGTATATGATTTAGCATTCGAGGAGACTCTCTCTCTCTCTATATATATATATTATACATATAGTCGGACCTATATTACTATATTCTTTCAGTTTAATTAGTCTCAATATTCAAAATAATTTGTATAAAATTAATGAAAATAAGTATTGATTCACCAAAATAATCAGACTAATATCTTGTATTTTTTTAATTGTGTTATTAATGATTTTTAATAATTTTTGTTTTTGGAAATACACTCCTGCAACGCGGGAGACATGATTTTCTAAACTCTATATCTATTCGTCTACGTAGGTTGGATTCAAAATCTCACAATTAAGACCAAATTATTATGCAGAATTGATATATATGCAGACATATATGAACAGATTTGGATATGAAATAAATGATATAGGAACTGAGAGATTTGACGGAGGAGTGCGAAGTGGTTGGAGCTGTTGGATCGATATAAGAAAAAAAAAAAGCTAAGCTAAGCTATTCATTGAATGAGGATTTTTATTCTAAAGCTCTAAACCCTAGCCAGTGACCCTTTTGCTCCATCCATTATTCTAACCTTTTATTTTTTTTTCTAGCACAAAATGTTTTTTTGGTCGAATATATTAAATAAAGATATAGACTAATCTCGAGTTAGGAGAGGCTCTTCAAATATAAAATTCGAACTCGGGACAGAACAAACGTTTTGCACCTTCATTTCACCTGTTAAACTATGTAAGTTTGGATTTCACACAAAATATTAATGTTACCAACATAGAAAAGATATAATACATAAGACCGCCTTAGACCAAACATAAAATTGTTAGAAAAATAGTTACATCGGAAATCGGAATTCAATAGTGACGTATTCCTATACCCACATCGCAAAAAGCCATTATTATTAATTCCTCCTAAAAAGAAAATGTGAGGAAGTTCTGATTTCAGGGGGGGAAAATAACATAAAAAAGATTGCTTTTATATCTGTTCTGCCAACATCTGTAAAGTTCGTTCCTTTCATTTTGTACCTTTTTTCTTTAAAATCATGAGATCTCTTATGTTTTGTCCCCCTGAAAAATAACCTTTTTATCTATATACTATATGCTTGTTGTATGAATATATATATATATATATATATATTTCTCTAATAAGAGAGGAATATTT